GCAGATAAAAGCACATAATTCTACTAACTCTAAGAACTCATAAATGGGACATGACTTAACATCAACTAAATCTTGCAGCATAATGTTAACATGCCAAATGTTTAGTAATATTAACCATTCAAAGTAACAAGACCAACAATCGTTTCCTCAAAAAAATAATAATGCTAAGGATGTTTAAAACAATTCAAGAGTGAATCAATTGCTGGAATTAATAAGATCAAATTGTTAGCAATTGTTTATATAGAACTGCCCATTTAATCACACTTTTAGCTTTATCTCAGACCTTCAGTTTCATCACATGAATCCATCATGTGAAGAGCCCCCAAGTTTCAAACATGTATCAACTAAAAGCATCACATTTAGAATTATGGGAGAACATCATAATTAATGCCACAAATGCAAGTTACTTGGACAATTTAGCCTAAGGCGGAAATGATAATGACAGGAAACTAGAAAACAAACAATTGCATACATGGCCATACTCAAATCCTTCTTATTATTTTTTTTTCCACTGAACCTTTTAAACACATTAAACTCAGTCATCATAGCAAAACTAACACCAATACGTAGCAGCTATGATAAGGCCAACTACAATTTCAAAATCCAAGGCCAAAATATTTTCAAAATTTCTTTCAGAGCTAAACAAATTTTGAATACAACAAGAAGATCTCAAGGCTAATCATAAACTCTGATTTTTCAATATTCATCTCAGCACAAAATTTACCATAATCTTTAGCTTCAATAAACACATCAAGCAAGGCATGAAAAGGCACAATATTCAAGCATCTCATATATAAACTTTTAACTAAACTCCAGCATGCTTTTAACCTCTACAGTAAATTGAAACTTAGGCATAACAGAACACCACAAGAAGGCCATTTATAAAGGGTGTAAAGGCTCAGCTGAATACCTTTTCAGTACTTAAAGGACACGACCGAAAGATGGCTCGGTCTACGAATTTAGTGGGGCTGCTTGTGGCTGAAAGTTTCGTCTAAGCACGGTTCTTAGCACTCGGCTCTCGGATGGGGCCCGAAAGGGCTGCTGCCCGTCGGAAAAGAAAAGTGTGTCGTAGCTACGAAACACTCTCAGCAAGTCGTTGCTTGTTCGGATCAACCGACTGCTGCTCGCTAAGAATTTCCCAGCTGTTACTCGAACGATGACGATGACGTTGAAGATGAACGAATTGTCGCTCTTGATGTTCTGCTATTCGACAACAAGGGTGCTGTCATCGGGCTCTCGGTGATGGGTAGACCAACCGCGTTAGCTGTTCGATGGCCCGGGTTTGCTCGTGTGTACCCCGTGGCAGACGAGGGCTGCTCCGTGTGAATAGATGGCAGCTATTCGCTGCAAAGAGATCGACAAGGTGCCGCTGCAAACGGGCACTGGGCTGTGGTGGTTCACCGCCGCTGAAGAACTCGGCTCCTGGCTTCGTGCTCCCTTCTCCGGCAGAACGTACGATAGCAGGTGGGGGATCTCCGGCACAGCACGACTCACGGCGAGGATTGCTTGTTCGCCGACGGTCACTCGCGTGAGTAGATAGAGAAATTTCACCGGCAACAAAAGAAGCTCGTGGCAGGTCTGTTCGCAGAGACTGTGGGGTAGAAATTCCCGACAACAGCTGGCTGGGCTCGGCGAACAGGGGCTTCTCGCGGTGATGCTTGGCCGCAGATAACGGCAGTGCTAAGGCTGGGGCACCTCGCGGTGGCAACATCTGCTATTAATGCCGGTGAGAACAGAGGGTTTCGCCTCGCGGCGGCAGGAGGCTGGGAGAGGGTGATTTCGGAGATGAAATTCAGAGTTGAGAGGAGCTTCTTGATGCTACTGATCGAGAACAATTTGGGGTGAAACTCTAATGTTGCTGCGAATTTGAGAGAGAGATCTGAGATTCTGAAATTTCACTATCGCCAGATCAAGGGAGATGAAATATTGGCGGAAAAATCTCGTCAATATCGCAAAAAAATTTCAAGCAGTTAAGGGGATGGACCTAGTCCACGCGAAGGAAGAAGAAAAATGAAAGCTGCCGGATTTAATCGCATGGGCCAAGGTTAAATATCTTCAATTGGGTCTAGATAAAAAATAACATACAAGGGCCAAGAAGATTTTTACAGCAATTGGACTGCAATAACATTTTAGGGCTAGAATTAACTAGCACATATGGGCTAGAATTTAAATCCCCTACAACAACAAAAACTTACTCGGAAGATGGTCAATTGAAAACATCCATATGGGCTAAAATATTAAACCTCTATGCTTCGGACTTAGAACACCAAAATGGATCGAAACGGTTCGCGAGAAAAATAGAATTCGAGTTTAATCCGTTTTACCATAATAAACCGAATTTCCGAACGACTTAATTAAATTGAATCAAACGAAATATTTTAACATTATATTATTCACAAATAATATAATGCTATGGCTAAAATACTTAATCGAGCAACAATAATAAATAACCGGAATAATATCAATAACAATAATAATCCGGAAGAATCATATAATGCCACATAAATAACATAAATCACATAAATCAATGAAAATCCACATATATTCACGAAAATTCGCATATTCTAACGGGGCGCTACAATTTCCTTCGCATCCGCCCTCATAGTCGGCAAAAAATATCCTGCTCTTAAAATCTTAGCGACCAGATCCGCCGCTTTGTCGTGGTCACTGCAACATCCCTCGTGCATCTCTCTCTGAACATATCTACCTTCTTCCTTAGTTACGCATCTCAGGTGAGGACCCGCATGCGATCGTTTGTAAAGGATTCCCCCATGCTCGAAAAATCTCCGCAACACCTTTATCGTCCCTTCTCGCAACTCTTTCAAAATCGAGGACCTCCAGTCTTCTATTTCTTCAATCTCTGCTACATCAGTTTCGACCGTGCTCCTTTCCATATGGAGTAAAGTTATGCTTCGGCTTTTGCAATCTACCAAGTTCTGAGCGATTTTTGATAACAAGTTAGCTCGACCATTTTCTCCTCGTGGAATCTACACCAATTCAAAAGTTTAAAATCCTTCTTGCAACCTTTTCATCTCATCCACGTACCGCTGCAGCCTTTCCTCCTTCACCTCAAAACCTTCCTGCACTTGCCCTACCACCAACTGGAAATCCGTGTGGACCTGAATCCTCCGTGCTCCTCCGGCTATGGACAATTGTAACCCCTTAATCACCGCCTCATATTCGGCCTCGTTGTTCGAAACCTGGAATTCCATCTTGGTAGCAAATTCTAAATAATCTCCTTTGGGCGAAACAAGGACAATGGCTAGTCTTGCCCCATTCCTCGACACCGAGCCATCCGCAAACAGTTGCCACACCCCTTCCTCTTGCTCCTCTAATTTCATTCCCTCTTGGATAAAGTCCGCCAGGACCTGTGCCTTGATCACTCTCCTTGGCTCGTATGTGATAGAATATTCACTGAGCTCGACCGCCCACTTGACCAATCGCCCCGACACTGAGGGTCGACCAAGGGTCTGCTCCATGGGCATGTTCGTCCGCACTCTTACTCTATGGTTAAGGAAATAGGGCCTCAGTTTCCTAATCGTCAAAACCACCGCCAGTGCATATTTCTCAATCTCCGAGTACCTCTGCTCTGCCCTTGCACAACTCAACTGACATAATATATGGGAGATTGGGCAACTCCTTCTTCGCGCAATAGCACAGAACTCACAGCCATCTCACCAATAGATATATACAGCACCAAATCCTCCCCTTGAACGGGTTTTGCTAACAGAGGTAGATTAGCCAACACCCCCTGCAGCTCCTCGAAAGCCTTCTATGCTTCGATCATCCAATGAAATTTTGAAGTTTTCTTCAATGTTCTGAATAGTGGACCACTTTTCTCTGCGACTTTGGAAATAAACCTGCTCAATCCTGCTATTCGACCTGTCAATATTTGTAACTCCTTCACGTTTGTTGGCAGCTTCATCTCGATTACAGCACGGACTTTCTCTGGGTTCACCTCTATTCCTCTCCTCGTCACCATGTACCCGAGGAATTTTCTGGCCTTTACTCCAAAAGAACACTTAGCAGGATTGAGCTTCATGCCATATCTTCTCAATGTTTGGAAGGTCTCTTTTAGGTCTGTTACATGGTCTGCTTCCACCTTACTTTTGACGAGCATGACGTCGAAATACACCTCCATGTTCCTGCCCAATTGTTCTTTAAAGATCTTATCGACCAACCTTTGATAAGTTGCTCCCGCGTTCTTCAGGCCAAATGGCATCACCACATAGCAATATGTTCCCTTGCTAGTTATGAAGCTCACCCTCTTTCTGTCTTCTCGAGCTAAAGGGATTTGATGATAGCCTTGGGACGCATCCATTAAGCTGAGCAGTTCACACCCTGTCGTGGAATGGTTGGTCGATCCTTGGAAGTGGATACAGGTCTTTCGGGCATGCTTCGTTTAAATTTCTAAAATCAATGCACATCCTCTGTGTTCGAGAAAAGTACGACTAAATAAGGACCTCGCCTACTCGTTCGAGAACCTCGAACGGACCGATGAACCGAGGGTGCAGCTTCCCTCTCTTTCCGAATCGCACAGCTCCGCGAATCGGACGAACTCTAAGAAAGGCTGGCTCACCAACCTCGAACTGAATATCTCGTCGATGATGATCGGCGGAAGACTTCTGACGACTCTGAGCTGTCCTGAGTCTCTGCCGGATCAACTCGACCTGATCTGCTGTCTCCTCGATCAACTGGAGACCGAGTACTCGTCGCTCTCCGACGTCGTCCCAATAGAGAGGGGAACGACACTTGCGACCGTAAATCGCCTCGTAAGGAGCCATCTGAATAGAGGAATGATAGCTGTTGTTATACGCGAACTCGGCGTACGGCAACAACGACTCCCACTTAGCACCCATGTCAACAACCAAAGCGCGACGCATATCCTCAAGCGTCTGAATAGTCCGCTCTGACTGACCGTCTGTCTCCGGATGGTAGGCTGAACTGAACTCAAGCTTCGTGCCCATCGCCTCATGCAAACTGTGCCAGAATCGACTGACGAATCTGGGATCTCTATCTGAAACAATAGTGACAGGCACTCCGTGGAGTCGAATGATCCCACGGGTATATATCTCAGCCAACTTATCCAAAGACATCCTCATCGAAACGGGTAAGAAATGCGCGACCTTAGTCAACCTGTCGACCACGACCCAAATAGCGTCGTGATGTTCAGACGACTTCGGCAATCCCGTAACGAAGTCCATCGTGACTTCCTCCCACTTCCACCTCGGAATCGGCAGTGGTTGCAGGAGGCCAATCGGACTCTGATGCTCGGCTTTAACTTGCTGACAGGTAAGACTAAATAGCGCCGCCGACGGCGTTAAGCCGTTCCACGACCCATATACATATTATCTCGGCAATATAAATTAACTGAGCTTAAACATGACTTTACTGAACATGAAAATACATAATGGTCGAAGGTTTGAACTTAACATGAAATAACATGTGAGCGGCCCGCGGTGCGCACTAAGTGTGCGACCACAACCCTTCGGCCAAAGCACTACTAACATGACTAATTATCCGAACATTTAAGTTAATTTAAACATGATATTGCAAATAAAAGCTAAGCATGCAAGAATGGCCGGAGAAAATAACTTATAACAGGACATGGTCGGCATGGCTGCGGCTTAACACACATAACACGCATGCATGTCAAATTAAAATCTAATCTTAATAAACATGCTACTCTCGGTCAACAACCGTCGGAAGTTACCTCTTATTAAGCTCCGGTGACTACTCTTTCCGAACTCCCACTCTCGGCCGTGACCCTCCGCGTGCGTGCATTGTCGTGTGCGTGTCCTCGGACTACCGTGCGGATGGCTTGCGGTACATGCGGTACCCTCGGCAATTGCTCACAAAAGACACTTAAAAATCCTCCCAACTCTCTATTAACTCTCGGCACTTGACATATATATATAGGCTGAACTTATATCATGAACTTAAGAATAAATTATAGGAACTTAGCTATGAAGGGAAAGATGGGAAAAATTCTAGGATTTCACATATATAATACACGCACCAAATAAAATGGTGAGGGAGAGGTTAAGTGGTCAAAGGCTTAGGACACTTGGAGTTGAAAGCCTCTTAACATGCCACATGCATAATCCCACTAGCCATAAAGTATGAGGGAAAATACTAACAAGAAGACAATTGAGATGCACGGCCTTATGGACTAAATGGAAGGAATCCTATGGACTAATTTCTCTAATTTATGCCACTAACCTCACGGCATTTGCATGGCTAAGTGGAAGGAATCTCTTGAACAAAACACTAACATGCACAAAAGCTAAGGCCACTTGTCACACCATGCAAGATGATGCCAAAGCTTCTTACCTCCTAAAGTCACGTGAAAGATGCCAACAAAAGTGAGGGAACTTGGACAATTGTCCACTTACATGCGCATGGCTAAGGACAAAAAGGAAGGCATCTTGGACCAAAACACAAACATGCTACACAACAAAAATCGCACGGCATTCATGACTTGGAAACAAGAAAAATCCTCCACTACATGAATTGAGTAGTGCACGGCAATTAGGAGGAATTTTGCTGAATTTCCACACGGTTTTAGCTACTAATTAGGTGATTACTTACAATTAATCACAAATTAAAGCTTAATTTAATTAATTAAGCATAACACTTAATTACCAAAATTATTTCGAACGTAAATGGTACGTCGAAATTATTTTCCGATAATTTCGACTGAAATAACTGAAATTAATTAATTCCGAAAAATAATATCGGAACTAAAAATATAATTTATACTGATAAATAGTCGGGATATCACACAAGTCCTTCCGGAGACGTTGATTATTTTTTCCCTTTTGTCCATATTTACTCGTATTTTCCTTGACTTCTTTAAATGTATACGATTTTGCTTCAAAACGCGATGGGGCACGAAATATATGTTATCCACATCAAATAATGGAGCCGTGTTCGAAAACAAGTCTTTCCAGAGAGGTTGATTATTTTTTCCCTTTTATCCCTATTTACTCGTATTTTTCTTGACTTCTTTAAATATATACGATTTTGATTCAAAACGCGCTGGGGCATGAAATATATGTTATCCACATCAAATAGTGGTTTTGTGTTCGAAAACAAGTCTTTCCGGAAACGTTGATTATTTTTTCCCTTTTGCCCCTATTTACTCGTATTTTCCTTGACTTCTTTAAATGTCAACGATTTTACTTCAAAACGTGATGAGGCACGAAATATATGTTATCCACATCAAATAATGGTATCGTGTTCGAAAACAAGTCTTTCCGGAGACGTTGATTATGTTTTCCCTTTTGTCCTAGTAATGGTATCGTTTTGCCACCATCACTGTGTTCGACAGCCATTCTGGGAATTGGATCTCTGTAATGTGGCCCGCTTCATCAACTTCTCCACCTCCTACTCGATTATCTTGTCCATATCCGCCCCATGGTGTCTCCTCCTTTGCTTTACCGGTCTCACAGAGAGATCGATGTTTAAACTGTTTTCAATTACCCTTGCGTCAATCCCCGTCAGCTCCTCAGCGGTATAGGCAAAAATATCCGCAAACTCCCGTATTAGATCGACCAATTTGGATCTGATCGGCTCCTCCAGTTCATTCTTGATCCTAAACTTCTGTTCGTTACAGCCTTGGACCATCTGAACTTCTTCGACCTCTCCTCCTGGCTGTATGTCCACTTTCTCTTTCCCCTTTTCATGCCTCTCTCTTTCTTCCTTCGATCTCGACCCGCCTGGTAGATCCAGCCTTTCCTCACCGCCCTTCGACTGCTTCTTCGCCAACTGTTTATTGTTGCTGACTGTCGTCTGGTAGCAGCTTCTCGACGTAAGCTGGTCCCCAGCAACCTCGCCCACATTTTCGCCCACCAGATACTTGATCGTCATGTGGTATGTAGACACAACTGCTTGGAAAGCATTCAACCCGGTCCTTCCCAAGATGACATTGTAAGACGACTCTGCACCCACCACTATGAATCTCACCATGCACACTTTCCTCGTGTTCCCCGATCCCATCGCTACCGTTAGGCTAACTTCGCCCATGGGCATGACCTCGCCACCATTAAAACCATACAATTCTGTTGCCACCGGCTTCAGCTCCAAATTTAGGTGCTTGTTGATCTGCGCAAAGCAATCATAGAAGATGATATCAACCGAGCTACCCATGTCGATGAACACCCTCTTCACATCGAACCCTGCCACCTCCAATGTGATCACAAGTGCATCATTGTGGGGTAAGGAGACCCCCTCAGCATCTTCTGCTCAGAAACTAATCACTGGCATTCGCCCAGTTATTCCGACCTCCTCTCTCTTACGCTTAAGAGTTCGTGCATGTTCCTTCCGGGCATTGTTCGAATCTCCGTCGGTCGGTCCTCCTGAAATCATATAGATAGTGCCTCTCTTCATCGGGGCCTCTCCTTCTTACCCTTCTCGACCATCATTAGCACGTCTCCTCTTCTCTGCCTCACCCCATTGACCACCCTTTTCTCCTCGAGCATCGTCCTCTCCATCATCTTCTTCATCACTCCTCGCCACCGAGCCCTCCTTGCATCTCCTCTTCTCTCTTCCGCGTGGTCGATCGCGGATGACAAATTCTTTCAAGTGCCCCGCTCGTATGAGTGCTTGATTTCATCCTTTAAATGTCTACAACCCTCCGTGGTATGCCCATAATCTCGATGAAACCTGCAGTTTTTGCTCGATTTGGGTCGTGTCGGCCCCTCAAACCTTGTTGCCGGCCACGTGACCTCCTTATCCCCCAATTTATCCTCGATCGCCACCAAAACCTCCCCTACCTTTGTATTTATTGGCGTGAACATGTTGTACCTCTGACCATTCGCCAAGAGAGGTCGCCCTTCCCATCGATCCTCTCGCCCAGTGCTCCCTCGCTTATCTCTTTTGGGCGACAACCTCCTCGATGGGCTCTTATTTGGGGAATTCCTCCAGGGCGACTCCCTCCTGGGCGAGTTTAGCCTCGCCTTCCTTGGCGCAGGCCTCGCCACCTCCTCGAGCTTAGCAAACTTGGCCCTTGTCTCTTCCAGATTGATGTACTTCTTGCACCTCTTCAGCACTTCATCGTAAGTTCGAGCAGACGTCTTCGCCAACGACATCCGACACGACCCTGGTCGCAGACTTCTAATCAAACCCCCCGCTTTCACTTCGTCGACCGTTGTAGGCACTTCAAGACACATCTGGTTATATCGGGCCACATATTTTCGCAAGGATTCTTTCTCGCCCTGCCGCATCGCCATCAGAGTGAGATATGTCTTCTCCTGCGCGACCGCACTCGGATATTGATTAGTGAGTTGTCCCACAAAATCCTCAAAATCTCTAATCGAACCGGGGGCCAGTTGGTAGAACCAGTTGAGCGCACCTCCTCGTAAGGTCGACAAGAACGCCATGCAGCTGACCGGATCCGAGTATCCATGCAATACAGACATATTTTCGAACGTCCTCACATGCCTCGATAGATCGCTCGACCTATCGAAGGTCAGATTTATCTCCCTAAAACTTGTGGGTAGAGGTGCTGCTAAAATTTCCCTCGAGAACGGGTGTCCTCGAGCTCGTATGTCCGGCCTTCCTTCCACTTTCTCTTGTAACTGCTGGAGTTGCTCAGACATCCTCTCCATCACCCTATCCCTGGGTTCTCCTCCTCCACCATAGCTCGATACATCTTCCTCCTGAGTCCCTGCCACCGTGGTCAGAGTGGCGGTAGCCTGGTACGTTTGGTGAGTGACCTGCTGCACAGCTTTCGCCCCCCCGTGAGTCATCATCCGCTGCATCTCTTCCCTCGTCATCGTCACCATTTGCTGAGCAGGAAGTGTCGCGGCTCTTTCTTGCTGACCTCCAGTGGGTGGTAACATCGCCTGCGCTCCTGCTCCTCCTTGTTGTGCCACTCCTGGATTTATCTATGACGGCGCGAGAACCGCCACCAGTGTTGGGCCCCGAGCCTCCTGATCTCTGCTCGTGCCCTCTCCTCAACCCGGTATCATCACACCTTGGGGGGACGGTGGGGTCGCCAGTGTTTGTAGTGGTGCAGAGATGCCAGGTGGAGGACCTGCTCTCGGATTCCATAACAGCACGTCCAACAGCTATTCAAATAGATCCACCAGTTCCTACCTGCACGCGAGCGGAGCTAGGCCCTTGTAGATGGTTATTGAGTTAATGCAGGGCAGGTTCAATCTGAACTCAAACGCGAGTTGGTGTTTTGTTCAAATAAAAAAAAAATCGGTCTGGTTGTCGTCCACGCGTCATCGAACGACGATTGTAAGTTCACACGAGGAATTTCGTCCGCCATAGCTAAACACTCAACACAACTTTTCGAACAGAAGTCCCACAGATGGCGCCAATAATACAAGTCTCGCACTCCGACCGGCTGGAAACCGTCTCGAGCTTGTTCTCCTTGCCGGTTGAACGCAGAACCTGCACGAAACTCTCACACCGGAGTTGTTTTCCGATGAAGAGCCTCCAACGCTCAAGTCAGATCTTGAGAGATGAAATATATGTGTGTAAAAATGTAAGAGTATGAGAGATCGTATCAAAAGTGAGAATTCTCGTCCCTATTTATAGGGACGAGCTACCTGTTCTACACGCGCGAGGTAGGCGAGTCTGGCTAGCAACCCTATTGCTCGTCCGTACAGCCGTGCGCCTCCACTACCTTTTGGCGTCAGAAAACGCGTCGGAGATGTCAGAGAATGTCAGAGTCCGTTATCGCCGTGGACCGCTCGCCAAGCGCCGCGTGTCCTCCTTCCACGTGCTGGAGATTCGTTCCTCTTTGAGACTCGACCAGATCCGCAATGAATGTAGAGCCGTCACGACCACACCAGTTTGATCGTCTTCATCGACCAGCTACTCGAGCAGCCAGTGCTTGTCTATTATTGCCGAATGCGCTCTTCCTCATTCTCTTCCTTCCCCCATTGCGGATGTTCGGTCCCGTTCGACCGGACCGCTAATCTATTTTGTTTGACTAACCCGACGAACCGGTCTAGTACCTAATATCCCATATCAATATGGTATATTTTAAATAATCACTTATGTAAATTGCGGCTCATTATTTAAGGAAATAATTAAGCCATATAAAAATTCATTTTTAAAATTCAGTTTTAAGAAAATCCCAGGGAGAGAAGGGTTTGCGTGCGTGAGTTTTTATAAAATCTGTCGGGATGAACAAGTAATTCGTTTGGGTCGGTTTACTTAACGTTCAATTGGGCCGATAAGAATAATATAGAGGGCCTGAAATCTCACAAAGTTGGACCGAGATTTATACAAATTTGGGCTGAAAATAATTAAAAGGTTGGGCCAACACTGAGGTTCGAAGAAATAGTCGACGATTAAAAATAAAAGCTTGGTTTGATCGCACGACTATAAAATAAATAACGGATATATCTTTATTTAATACACAATAATATTTTATTTAATTAATAATAATAAGCAATTAGGCAAATAAATAATTAAAAGCAATTAACTAATAATAATAATAATACTAATAATAATACTTATAATAATAATTTAAAAATAATAATAATAATTCTAAATAATTCATAAATGAACAGCGCGTTACATAACTATTTCCCTCCAAAAAAATATTTATTTACTATTTTGGGAAATTAACTTAACAATATATGGTATATTTTAAATAATCACTTATGAAAATTGCGGCTCATTATTTAAGGAAATAATTAAGCCATATAAAAATTCATTTTTAAGATACCTTAATTATCTTATTACCCCGTTGGGGCCTTAGTTATTACCCTGTTGGGGTCTTCTCTTATTACCCCGTTGGGGCCTTGTAGTTTGTAATTTTGCACTTTTGTGCCCAGTTATAATACATCTATCGTTTTGGAAAAAAAAAGATACCTTAATTACTCAAATTAATTTAACAATTTATGGTATATTTCAAATAATCACTTGTGGTAAATTGATTTTTAAGATAATGCTCAAATAATGTGAATTGGTTGATTTACACAAATATGGAAATTTCGGTTGCAATATCAATGATGTGATTTGGTAAACAATTTCCAACTAAATTGTATAATTTATTATTTAATAAGTCTTTTATATTTTTCGTGTAATTATTTCGTGAATACATTTTTAATATACCTTAACTACGCAAATTGTGTAAATTTGACTGATTTATTCGATATGTAAATAATAACTACAATTATAAAAATATCGACAACAATAATTAATTATACAGCTTGCAAAAAAATATTCTCAAAAAATTGTGTTAAGGACAATTTTTGTTTAAATATTATGTAATAAATGTTATTCATCTTTTGTGTATTTAATTGCTCAAATCATGGATAATTAAAGAAAGAATTAGACAATAAAAAATTATCTTTTTAAGATACCCTAATTACACAGATCGAACACACAGAACAAAAAAACGGCTCTTCTGCGAAACCCCAAATCGACGAAAACCCTTCTTCCAGATTCTGATCCTCTTGCCTTCCTCTGCGACGGCTTTAGCCCGGCCAGGGGTCGTCCTCGACCGCCTGGCCCACTCTCGGTGAAGCAAATTTTAGATGTGGCCGTGATTTGCTAAAGGCGCGGTGGTCCAGTCCGTGGTCGCTGTTGGAGTCGCGGTGAGAGGTGGATTTTCGCTCGTCCGGCGTTCGGCTAAAGATTGGAGGAGCTTCCTTCGATTGCCGGCGGTGCACTTTGCGGTGGTCGCACCTCTGTTGGGTCCTCCTACAGTGGTTGTTGGGCTGTGGTTCGCCGGCGGGATTGTCAGTTGTTCGGGTGGGAATGTCGTTGGTCTTCGGCAATTAGTGGTGATGTCGGGGATGTGCAGAGGCTGTGGAGTGGGGCGGGATCCCGATTGCTGTGTCGGGGCAGCAGTTGGGGTTGAGGGCCCGAGCCACCCCTTGTTGTTTCCTTGGCCGGCTAGTGGTGTTAGGCGGCGGGGGATTGGGTCCTATCGAGCTTGGCTAGTGGTGTTAGTCGAGTTCGGAGGGGCTGACATGGGGCTGGTTGGGGTTCTCTCGGTGAGGGAAGGGTTGATTCGGGATTGTCTCGGGGGTTGAGTTGACCTGTTGTATAGCCGTCGTGCAGTTTCGGTAGCAGTTCTCGAGCTTGAGGTTTTCTTCGTGTCTGTCGTTCACCGCTGGTGGAGCTTAGTTTGGTTCGCAGGGGAAGGGCTCCGTTTTTGTTTATTGTAGTTTATTGTTGTTTATGTTTCTGTTTTTTCTTTGTTGTGTGAGCGTTGTGTCTGTGTGGGTGTGTTTGTGTTTTCGGTTTGGGTCGTTGGCCCTGGTGTGACCGA